CCAAAGGCAGCCGCTTAACCGACTGAGCCACCCAGGTGCCCCTAGGAAACATATTTTTAATGGGCACGATGTTACTGGGCTGGTTTGAGGGAAACGTCCTTGTCAATCAAAATCCTCTTCTGGAACATCCAGGCTAATCGTCCCTACTGGTAGAACGCATACATTTTTTGTGAACTGACCACAGGGATTAGACCTGGCTCTTCGCAATTGCCTTTTCCTTTGCCAGCATCAGTGACCCCAGTGTCTAGAATCATATGAGTGCTGTCGACCCTCCACCCTGTCCTCGCCATTAGGTGGTTCCTGAGAACGAAAGCAGGTCTGAAATCAGATTTGGCCACACCTAGAAAACTGACACAGCCAGTTGGTGCAAGTGATGGAGTCCCAGCTCCCTGTCCCTGAGGCGTGCTGACATGGACGCACATGGAGGTTTGCAGAAAGCAGATGCGATGCTTCTGGCGGCACGTTAGCCAAACTTTTAGTCAGACCGGGCAAAGGGAGCCTCTGCTATCAAGGCAGACACTTCATGGAAGAGAGGCCCCAGGCTTGCACCTGACGCCTGCACAAAGATGCATGCGTAGTATATCAGCTCACCCAATCCTGACGCCACTTCATGCATCAAAGGAAAATGACTCCTACGGCCCATGTACTAATAAGCGCCCCCTCGTGCAGATTCGGGAAGCGACATGCACTTGGCCTCCTCTCAGTGTGAGCAGCAAGGTAGTGTAGTTTTGGTAGTCTCAGAAGCTACCCGTTGAGTCAGAATTCCCAAATCTGTAAAGGACAGATCTGGGGGAGCAGCTAGAGCGCACATGTCCATGCGTATACAAGGCGCATTCACCGTGTTTGTACTTGGGCAGTTCAGGTGTCCTGGGGCCATGGTCCTCACAGCAACTTGTTCATCTGCCCCGTAAAAGAATATTGCTAACCTAAATACCCCCCAAACGCTTGTAGATTGGCATCTAATTTTTTTTCATCAGAAGTTTTAATAGTTGCAAAGATGTAATTTTTGTTACATCACTATTTAAATGTGTAATGGAATCTCAGTGCCTTAGTGATTTCATAGCTACCTGCCCATTTAAAAAATCAACAAGCAGGCTCCACTTTAACATTTAGAAAATTTATGTGTTTGCTTCTTTAATTTCCTATTTCTATTCTCTTTCCCTCATAGAATCTGATCCTAATATATTACATGTCTCTGTTTGAAAGTCTTATATTGGTCACTATATCATACTTCTCTACAACCACCACTAAAACAAATTATATGAATGGCATTTGAAAACAAAATTTTTATTTCTGATAACCATAGGCTTTACATTTTATTTTTTTATTTTTATATTTTTTAAGATTTTATTTATTTGTTAGAGAGAGAGAGAGAGAGCAGAAGCGGGGGACCAACAGAGGCAGAGGGAGAAGCAGACTCCCCACTGAGCAGGGAGCCTGATGCGGGGCTTGATCCCAGGACTCTGGGATCATGACCTGAGCCGAAGGCAGATGCTTAACCGACTGAGCCATCCAGGCACCCCTAGGCTTTACATTTTAAATATGTATTTTGAAAATTAGCATACAGTGAATCTAAAAATCATAAATATTACACATTTTGATAATATTTTAACACTAAAAAGTGAGGTTTTATTAGAAACCCATTCCTTCAGGCAATTGTTTTTAATTCCCAACTACTTTTCCTATTCAGGCATGAATGCAACCTCTTGCCTGATTCAGGGAGAGCTTAGCATCAATTCCATTCTTAGGTTTTTATTTTTCTAGTTACAAGTACCGACAGGTATGACTCTCATAAGTTGATGGAAATGTAAGATTACAGCATTTTCCCTCACTTCTCTGAATTCTTTCGAAGTCATCTGCCAAAAGCATGGTAATCTAATGCCAAAGATTGTTTTTATTGCCCCATATCAGTTGATAACCTGCTTATGTTGGCGTTTAATTTTGTTGGAAGCAAAAAAAATCGCAACCCACCTAACCTGCAAGCTGACTTTTTTGCTCATTCAGTACTGGCAGATACTTCCTCAGTTTGTGCAGAGCACGTCAGAAAGCCTTTAAGAAGGCTGATCAGAGGATTCCAAATTAAACCTGTTATTTGTTATTTATAGGCACCTTGTCTAACCCAATACGCTCAGAAAGTGTTGGGAAATTCCAAATACTGCTAATTCAATACATTTTGCAAATGTATCTTTGAATTTTTTTAGGATTTATTTATTTATTTGTGTGTGGTGGGGGGAGGGATAGAGGGAGAGGGAGGAAAGCAGACTCTCCGCTGAGTGCAGAGCCCCTTAGACCCTGAGATCATGACCTGAGCCAAAATCAGGAGTCAGACGCCCAACCGACTGAGACACTCAGGCGCCTCACAAATATATTTTTGATTAAATGCTTTTATCACATCACATCATTTAAATATGTTTTCTCAATATCCTGGAGCCCCAGATTGAAGTCATTCAGTGTATGAAATGAAATCCACAATATAAAGTAATTAGCTAAGCCATACTTTCTAAACAGGGCCAAGTCAGACTTAGTATCGATCAGAAAAATCTGGTTTTATGTTATAATTAAAATGAACATTTGACTGTGCATCTGCATGACATCATGTCACTTCTGAATTTTAATTCGTAAGAAAGGAGGGATGGAGCCTTGGGGAGAGGGAAGAGAGAGAGAGAGAGATAACTAGCCTAATGGGAAGGGAGGACAGAGCGGGTACAGGGAGCCCTGTATGTGGGACAGCCCTTGACGGTGGTTCGATTCTCTCAGCTGCCAGTCCTAGCTAGCCATGAGGGGCTGGAGAAATGAGTGCCTCCATCCCGCTGTGGGGTGTGGCATCCAGTACTCTGTGCTTTGACAGCTAGGGGTAGAAGCAGCCCAGTCCTTAACAAAGCTCTGCTCTGCTCTGTAGTCTATCTGAGCCTAGAACACCCCAGCTCAGTTAACATCCTGGTACTGAGTAACCAGGAGAACGGTTCCAACAGTGATTCACTGAGTTGATTTCCTGTTTCCTCTGCTGCTTCTTCTGTTGTAGCTTGATTGTTTTACTACACTCAGGTGCTCCTTCTCCCCTGCACGACACAGCATCTTCTCTCTTGAAACAAGCATCAGGAAAGCTTCTCAAATCAGTCTTCAAGCGCTCTCCTCACTTGCTTGTTAATTTACAGTATTTTTAAAAAGTATTACCTTGTTTCAATGAGCCTATTTAGAATGCAGAAGCCTCTGGGCAGGTCTTCTGTGACATCCCTAACACTGCAGATCAGACCAGGCGATGGCACTCTAAACGAGCCCAGAGGGCAAGGGCGCTTCCTACCCAAGAGGAGAGGCGGGTTGATGCGGAACCGCAGGGTGCAAGGACCCGCTCTGTCCTCTGCTCACCTTCTCCTCAGGCCAGCCCAGATCATTTCACAAGGTTGAAAGGAGCACAGCAGGGCTACACAGATTAGATTATTTGTGTGATTACAGAAAACAGGCACATCAACATTGCATTATGCACCGCATTCTTTCTATAAAACTAAGATGGTTGCCATCCAGGCATGGGAGAAACTTTATAATAAAGTTACAGAACTGTTACTGTTTGAAGGTTGTGATCAGTGAGGAATATCCTCTTTGATAACTGTTTATGGAAAAAAGGACAGTCAAGTGCATGACTGCAACTTGTTTATTGATACATCTTTGGCTTTGGTTCTAGTTGAAATGTCATCCTCTGAGCCAACCTGCAATATAATTAGTGGTTATTTTAAGATTAATAATTGAATAAGTGAACCCATTTTAGTGATGCTTTAAATGCATAGTGGGTTGTTGTGGACTGACTGAATCCTCGAAATGATGTGTATGCTGATACATGCTTACTTGGTGCTGCTTAATGGCTACAATGTCTGGTTCTAAGCAACATTTATAAGACTGCAAACCCGGGTCCATACATTAGACACACACATTGCACTCATGTAGTTCTTCACTTACTATGTTTCTGTTATTTATACATACTTCCATTTACCCACTTCTCTGTCTACAACAGGTTCCCTATATTGTAAATAGACTGTATCACAAGATGTCATGTTTATTAAACGGTTTAGGAAATTAAGAATTAAACAAATTTAAAAATTACACAATTTTGGAAGCAGAGTTTCCTGCACTATCTAGCCATTTTGCCAACATAGAAAGAAACTTTGAAAGTAAAAGGTCATTTTATTTATGTTGAAATGGCTATTTTTTAGAAAATTCAGTGAATTACTTGGGTAGTTTTTTAAATTGTGTAGGTAACAGGGTATAAGATACTAGCCAATTACCTTTATGAGCAGCTTGGGAGGATTTGTCTTATTTTGTGATTACTTGGTTAAATTATCATAAAGCAGCTTTATGATAATACATTAAAGTATCACTATATATTTATTTATGTCATGAAGAAGTTTCAGAAAATAGAGAAATATGAAATATACTAAGAATTTTCTCGGAGG